AAAGACGTAGCTCTCTCTATATGTGTTTATATATATATATATATATATATATATATATAAAGTAAAAATATCAAAAAAAAATCCGTATACTTAGATATACGCAGATAAAATCTGCGACAAATAGAAAATAGATATTAGAAACGGATATTTACGGGTAACAGATACATATATTTTTTATGCATGTTTGTTAATGGAAAGGATAGGGGTATTATAATATTTGTATTTGCGAATACTTATATCTGCTAATATTTAATTTATTATTTGATTTTTATTTGAACTTTGTTTGGATTTATATTTTATAATTTTTTTTGGTATTGGAATGAGAAATAAAAAGAAGAAACTAACAAAATACAAATAAAACTTAGCCTCTCTGAAACACAGTTCCCAGAGAGTCAGCTAGTAACAAACTAGAAAGAGTCATAGGATGCTCTTATAAAATAACTAGCCTATCATTTCCTAAAGCTCCCATTCGAGCCAGAGCATCTGCGCAACTATTACCCTCACGTAAAGTGTGAACAACAGTGCAAGTCCAGTCACAATTGAGCAACTGATCATGATGAATCTCCATGAGCTGATTTCTGTAACGATGAAACATTGGAATAGGTCCTTATAAGAGAGATACCACTAAAGTAGAGTCTGAATAACAAACGATCCTTCGAAACCCTTTATCCCAACAAAGACGAAGGTCGTGGAGAAGAGCTAAGATCTCTGTTTGAAGAACAGAAACCTCTCCCAAATTGTATTTTATTATCTTTTATTTTGGTTTATGTGTAATCAAAATATTTTATTTTAACAATTATTATTGTTTGAATTGTAGACTTAGAGCATGTTTGTTTTATAGTTGAGAAGTCTCAAACATACCTTCAATTCAAAGCTACAAGACTCATGAATTGAGTTGAACGGGCATTGAAAAGTGTGCTGACATTAAAACAAACACACACTTATACTTATATGATTGAACTTTAAAATTCAATTTTAAAATCAACTTATTATTAGGATAATTTTGAAGAATATTTGAATTTTAATTTTATAATCTTCAAACTTTTTTATGCATATTTCTATAACTTGGGAAAAAAACTATTACATATAACTAAAATGTATAGTTAAAATATTTTGTTAATTATTTAAAAAAAATTAATAAATATCCGTGGGTACCATGGATATTCGTAGATATTAAAAATAAATATGTGAATATCTACTCAACAAATATTTGCATAAATATGAAAATAGATACAAGACACAAATTTATCTAAAAAAATAACATAAAATTACTATTCATATCCGTTTTGTTACACATCCCTAGTATGAAGTAATAAAAATAATAATTTAGTCTAAATCTATAACAATCTCAAACCCTCAACTATTTTTTTTTTATTTTCATCTTTTTAAGACATTTTTATCCTTAACTTTTCACACAAATTTAATAAATATTTTTATTTCGACTCTACTTTTTTCATTATCTTTTCTCTCATTTTTTCATACTTTTTCTTGGTATGTTATTTCCATTATTTATTATTTGCAATCATACTTATAGAAACATGATGTTTCTCAATATTTTCTTAATATAAGTATAAAAGTTAAAATAAAAAAAAAATTGAAAGAAAGAGAACAATTAATTTGAATCTCGCGTTAGAATTTATTTAGTTAATTAAATAAATAAACTGAATCGCGTGTATTTAATGAATAAAACTCAAATAATTCATGAATACAGTTGTTAAAAAATTCTTCACCCTTATTATCAATGCTTTAAATGAAAGTCAATGAAGCATCGATTGTGCATTCATGCTGGTCTGCCTTATCCGAGTTAGTAAGTTGCTTTTCGTGCTCAGTAACGTGTCAGGCCAACAAATCTCAATGCTGCCCCATGGCCCCATCATCTAAAACTTTTAGACCATATTTCCATAATATTTTTTAAAAGTATTATTTTAGAAGATAAAATTTAAAAAAAAATGAAATAATTTTTTTATATAAGGAAAAATTATTTTATCTATGAGTTAATTTGTTAAAACTTTTTTTTATTAACTTCTTCATAATCTCGTTTTTGACTTATATATTAGTTTTAACTTATAAAAAAATTTATTTTTTCTTATTTTTTATAAAGGTCATTTCAATTTTTCTCAATTTATTTAAAGTATTTATGAAAAATTTAGTCATTTTCAACTTTTAAGATAATATTAATTATTGTTTGTTAATTATATCATTATTTCTCACTTACTGTTAATTAATCTATACATTGATAATTAATATACATTTATTACAAAGTAAATATAAAATAGGTAGTATAAGAGAAAAGATCAAAATCATTTTGGAAAAGTCAAACCTCTTGATTATAAAGTCTATCCTTAAACATGAGAATTAACATGATGTTTTTAAGTTGGATTTTTATCTATCTTAAATAGTTGTTAATACTTAAATAAATAAGAATGTTTTAAGAGATTAATCTTTGATATCTTGTTAAGATACCTTAATCCAACTGAAAAAATAAATACTCCTTTTGTTCTTTTTAATTGTTGATTTTCTTAATAAAATTTATTTTTATTTAATTGTCATTTTCAATGTTTAAAATAATATTAATTACTATTTTATTAATTATATTTTTTATTTCACTTAAATTTTAATTAAGATAAAAAAAATTAAAATATATTTATTAAGATAAAAAATGAAAAAAGACATAATAAAAAACTACAAACTCATTTTTCAAAAAATAGAAAAATTTACTATATTTCTTAACTAGTGTATAACAATGTTAAACGATTATTAAAAAGAAATAGATATATGGTGTGTTTGGCAACCTGTCAAATTCAACTCAACTGAAATTAAAAAAAAAAAAATAGTCCAAAGTTTTACTCTTTTTTTTTTACATTGAAATATGTGTTTTCTTTAAAAAAAAATGATTTCAAACCGAAAACACAAACATAAGCCTTCCCCATCTTGGAAAGTCATTAACTCCTTATTAATTTATTTCAAGTTGCGTATCGTTCTTCCTATCGCATTGTTAAGCTCTTTCTTTATTACTATTTTTAAATTTTTAAATTGTTACAGGTTTGCAGGAAGCTTGATAGAAGAGGTTGGAAGAAGTGGAAGACAACTCCTCCTTAGCTCTCCTTACGCATGGATCTTCTTCAAGGGAGATAGAAGCACTCTGGAGGAACTCGTAAAGATGAAGAACACTGGCTGAATCTAGAGGAGGGAAGCATCCAAGCTAAAGAACTCAAGGGATTGCACACTTCAAAGGGAAGGAAACTAGGTTTTCCTAAGGTTTTTTAAGGCATTCTCTCAGTTTTCTCTCTTGAATAAATTCGGTGACTCTTGAGGGAATTAGCTGAAGAAAATGTTCAGAAATTCTCATATATCAAAAGTGTTTTTACAAGGAGGGAAGAGATACATTTATAGGAGGAAAATTAGGTCAAGCTTGGCGGCAACTCAAGTAGGCATAGTTTGCGCCAAGTTTGAATTTCAAATTCAAATTTGAAATTCAAACTTTGGCCACTCATATGCTTAATCCGAATTGCTACCTTCATTTAGGTATCATTTAGGAATGATTTGGAGTGAATTTGGAGCTCACATGGCCGGATCCACCCCATGCCATCCATGTGACTCAAATTCAATTCAAATTACTTCTAAATGATGCTTAAATGAAACCTATTTCTCCTTTTAATGTTTTCTTCATATAATCCTATTCTAATGACCGAAATACATTGGTCTAATGAATACAATGAATAGAAAAAAAATATAAGAAGAAGAATGAGCCCAATATTGGGTATCAAAAGCCCAAAGCCCAAGAAGCCCAAAATTAAGCCCAAGACACCTAAACCCTAATCTATGGTCAAAATACAAGACCAACATGAAAATAGATTCCTATACTAAGAAAGTACAATTAGACATGGTGTTTAATCAATCAAGCCCAAGTGAGAAGCACCCTAGGCCCACCAAGCCCATTGGGCCCACTAAGCTCTGAAGCAGTCAAATCTTCAAGTAACCTCCTGGCCATAGCTCTAGTGGTTGGGCCTTTAGCCCATGCTCTTCCATCAAAGCTGCTAGGACTTTTGATCTTTCTACTTTCCCAATTTCACAAATTTGGTCCTTCCAAATAGTGCATTAGGTTCAGGTTCTGTATCTGTAGTCATGGATTCAAATGCTGCAAAAAGGGATGATGCAACATGCCAAACCATGGTTGAAGCAAAAGACATAATAAGCAAACTACATGATAGCATTCTTGGTTACATATTGTCTTTCATTCCAACTATGGAGGCAGTCCACACTAGTGTGTTATCAACAAGATGGATTCACGTTTGGAAATCCATCACCAATCTAAAGTTTGATGATAGTGTGCTTTGTTGTGGGAAGAGGATGCAAAAGGAACAATTTGTGTGTTTTGTGAACACAATGCTTCTTCACCATGCCAATTCAAGTGTCCAAAGTCTCTCTCTTTGTTTAACATGGTATCATTATGATTCATTATGGGTTAGTGCATGGATTTCCTCTATATTGAAAAGGGGTGTTCAAAATCTTCATATTCATATTCACTATGCTGATAAACTCCTCTTTCCTTCCCAAACCCTCTTTGGTTGCATCTCTCTAGTACAATTGGTGCTTCAAATGAGATGCACTCTTAGTGTTCCAATCTTTGCTTGTCTTCCAAATCTTCAAAGTGTTACCCTTTCTGGGATCATGTTAGTGAGTGACTCCGAATCCTCCAATTATTCAGAAGATATAATTCTTAGATTCCCACTTCTCAAAGTGTTTGAAGCCAGAAGATGTGAGTGGCAAACTAAGCAGAACATAAATATAGAAGCACCTCTACTTGAAAGATTTTCCATAACAATATGGAGATCTCTTTCAAATGAATCACATAAATCTGCCATCAAGATTTTTGCTCCTTATCTAGTAGATTTCTCTTATGAGGGTGACCTTGAGCAGGATATCATTCTATTGAATTCTTCATCAATTTGTAGTGCTTCTATGGTGATTGTTATGGATGAAGACAAAATGGACAGAATGGAAAATATACCGTATGGTGGCTGACTAGGCCAAATATCCGAGTTCATGGCTGACTAGGTCGAATACCCAAGTTCATGGCCGACTAGGCCGAATACCCGAGTTCGTGGCCGACTAGGCCGAATACCCAAGGTCGAATACCCGAGCCCACCGACCACTCATAATCTGAACGGAACGTGTCGGTGTGGTCAGCCAAGTCACAGATTTACGCCAGAATATTATGGAGAGGTTAATTTATGTAATGTACCGGATTAGCCCCCTAATTTCCCGGGGCCCAGTCCTTAATTGCTGCCCAATAAGAATCACTATAAATAGGACCCCATCGAGGTACGTAACTAACTTTCACTTACCGCATTTACTACGCCTAATACTTACTTGAGCGTTGGAGTGTCTTTGCAAGCATACCCCCCCTCACTTCGGACTACTCGGATAGGAACGAGAAGACCGAGACCCTGGACTAGACCCGCTACAACAAGGATAATTGAAGTGTGTATCCTAGCACAGGAACATTTGGCACCCACCGTGGGGCCGAAGAGACGTTTTTAGCCCCATTGAACTCTACGACTGAGACCAAGATATGGTAGTAACACGCAAAGGACCATCAACACCGACTCAACCAATCCCTAACCCCGAGAACAATCCCGTCATGACCGGCCAAGAACGATACCCATACGGAATGCCTCAGACACAAGCGGAGCCTGTGATACAAGAAGTTTGGTCGAACGCTGACGGAGCCCAACTTGACCTCCACGATGACTTGCACGCATTGTGCGAGAAAATGGCAGCCATCTGAAGACAGAGAGAAGCCGATGCCAGGGAGTTGGCGGAACTGCGTCGACAAAACGCCGAGCTCCGAAGTCTAAACCAAACCTACGTGCCGTCAACTCCCACACTCCAAGAGGAGTCGGCCTATCATGCCCCCACCGACCATGTAACCCGAACACCGGTTACTTCTTGATTGGTGGCAAGATCGACACCACCACCCACTGGTTGAGACACCCCTTCTCCCGAAGGATAATGGAGGCAACCCTGTTAGACCATTGGAAGAGCATGTCGATCGAGAACTATGACAGGTCCACCGACCCCGAGGAGCACTTGAACATTTTCCTGACACAAGCGACCCTCTCTACTCAAAATGACTCGGCCTTGTGCCGGATATTCCCCACATCGTCGAAAGGGAGGGCTCTGAGCTGGTTCACACGATTGTCGAGCGCTTCCATTGACTCGTTTAGCGAGTTGTCGTCCCAATTAGCTCTTTAATTCGCGACGAGCAAACCGTACAGGACGACCTCACTAGCATTGGTGGGGGTTCGTCAGGAGAAGAAGGAAAGTTTGAGAAGCTTCATGGACCGATTCAACAAGATCGCCATGGAGATCGGTGACCTTAACCCAGCTGTGGCAATGGATCGGCTGAGCACTGCCCTCAGGCCGGGGCCATTTGTGAATAGCTTGTGTAAGAAACCGCCAGGTGATATGAACGATCTCCGACGCCGAGCCGAGAAGTACATGCAAATGGAAGAATTGACGGAGACTAGAAATCAGGCCAGAGCCGAGGAGGGATATGGACGAAAAGAACCGGGTCGAGACCTGATGAGAAAGGCGAATGCCAAGCCCTCAAATGCTCGTCCCACGAGAGGACCACGTTATACAATGTATACAAGACATTTTTAAATATTTGTCATGTCGTTCCTTATTTTACTATATATATACGTTTAGGTCGCGCTCATGCAGGTCCAATCTCGAATAACGCACACGTCGACGCCGAGCAATCCTCGGCTGATCACTCAAAAAGTGCGCTCGAGCCCGACAGGTTTCCCTCCCGATTAACCTCCTCGGCTAAGGATGTACCTAGGCCGAGCATTAAAAGTAATGATGTGATAATCTAATTGAGATGACCTTTTGTGATTGGAGGGACAGGAGTTGGAGACAGAAGATTTTGATCCTATATAATAATATGATTAATTGAAAATATTATATTTACAAATTTAATGACACAAAAATATAATTGTAACACATTTTCTTATTTGAAATCAATTCTAACTATTTTTTTTTAATATTAAGAGACTTGAGAATGCAATACCGAGTAATACTTATGTAATATCAAGTAATTATAAATATATAGTGTAAAATATTTTTGATATATTTAAAGCATTATAATTGTAAAAGAATTAAATTTTCCCATTACCAAAAATAATACAAATAGACACCTACACACACACACACATTTATATATATATACATATATTTTAAAAAAATATATATATTGAGATATGAAATGCCTTGGTTTAAATAAAATATAAACATGTACATAAAAAATAAATACATATAAGCAGTTAAGCACCACGTACAAGTAATTGAAAAATAACTACCAAAATCGATAAAAATTGCCTAAAAGTCCATTTACCCTGGCAAGGTAATTTTATTCAATACAGAGTTGGGATTTGGTGGGGCAACGTGTTCATGATGTTCTTAAAGACTATCCGCCTTTGCGCTTAACTCACGGGCGGAAGGTACTACTTTTAGAGCCAAAGCCAACCTTTTGATGCATTTTTAAGAAGATTCAACGGTTGAATTCTTAAAAAAGAGGATTTGTTGTTTAAAATTTCTGATTACTATTTCTCAGGTTTTAGAGGTCCGACCTGTGATTAACTGGGATAAGGGAAAAGCTGTCACCTCTTTACATGCGTTACTTGGTGAATTCATTAAAAAGGTTACTTTCTTTAAAGATCAAAGTTCATTGTTTTGCAGTAATTGACATTAGAATATTGTGATTTAGGATAAACAATTGTGATGATGTGCTTCCAATATATATTGGAGATGATCGGACAGACAAAGATGCATTCTATAAGAATACTTAAAGGGTTATACTTATTAAAAATCAAAATTAAAATTAAAAGTAATGATGTGATAATCTAATTGAGATGACCTTTTGTGATTGGAGGGACAGGGGTTGGAGACAGAAGATTTTGATCCTATATAATAATATGATTAATTGAAAATATTATATTTACAAATTTAATAGACACAGAAATATAATTGTAACACATTTTCTTATTTGAAATCAATTCTAACTATTTTTTTTAATATTAAGACACTTGAGAATGCAATAACAAGTAATACTTATGTAATATCAAGTAACTATATTTATATAGTGTAAAATATTTTTGATATATTTAAAGTATTAATTATAATTGTAAAAGAGTTAAATTTTACCATTTCCAACAATAATACAAATAGACACCTACACACACACACACACATACATATATATATATATATATACATATATTTTAAAAAATATATATATAAAGATATGAAGTGCCTTGGTTTAAATAAAATATAAACACGAACATAAAAAATAAATACATATAAGCAGTTAAGCACCACGTACAAGTAACTGGAAAAAAAACTGCCAGAATCAATAAAAACTGCCAAAAAGTCCATTTACCCTGGCAAGGTAATTTTATTCAATACAGAGTTGGGATTTGGTGGGACAACGTGTTCACGATGTTCTTAAAGTCTATCCGCGTTTGCACTTAACTCACGGGCGGAAGGTACTGCTTTTAGAGCCAAAGCCAACATTTTGATGCATTTTTAAGGAGATTCAACGGTTGAATTCTTAAAAAAGAGGATTTGTTGTTTTTAATTTTTGATTACTATTTCTCAGGTTTTAGAAGTTCGACCTGTGATTAACTGGGATAAGGGAAAAGCTGTCACCTTTTTACTTGAGTTAATTGTTGAGTTCATTAAAATGGTTACTTTCGTTAAAGATCACAGTTCATTGTTTTGCAGTAATTGACATTAGAATATTGTGATTTAGGGCTAAACAATTGTGATGATGTGCTTCCTATATATATCGGAGATGAACCGACAGACGAAGATGCATTCTATAACAATACGTAAAGGGTTATACTTATTAAAAATAAAATTAAAATTAAAAGTAATGATGTGATAATCTAATTGAGATGACCTTTTGTGATTGGAGACACAGGGTTTGCAGATAGAAGATTTTGATCCTATATAATAATATGATTAAT